CATCGATTTTGCGGCGATCATAGCCGAACTGAGACTCCTCAGGACATAGGAGTACTGTAGACTGTGTCTGATAAGACTTTTCACTCTCTGAACCATGCTCCTTATACCCCTCATGCTCTTTATTTAGCTCTTTTATATCGATGGAGTTGTGATAACAGGTCGACGTAGGTGTAGGATATGCGGAATGACCCTGACGATGCTTCAAAAGGGTTGACAGAGATATCCGACGTTCCGGTGACAGAACACTAGAACCATTACATGGCCTATCGTCGCATATTTGATTTGAAGCGTTTTCTTGTGAGGTGCTCGTCAGCATAGTATCCTGTGTAGATGCCGGTACTGGTGGTGACAATATCTGGGCATTCTGACTGTATTCATTCGGCGCAAGAGCAGCGTCAGCGCTAATCTATTACTTATGTTAGTTGGGTAGCGACTAAATTTTGTGGAAAGAACTGACCGAACTTGGATGCAGTGAAGAAAGCGGGGATGACAAAGCATTCGAACATTCACCATCCATGTGTTGATCAGTTGAAGAGCGTTGTGAAGTTTCGAGTAAACGGCTATTCAGTGGCAACTGGAGAATGACAATCTTGGACTTGTTTTCTTGAGGTTCTGATGAATAGTCTGAATAACCAGCGATTTCACTGGTTATGGTCTCATTCTGGGATTGAGCGGATGTCTGATATGTTCGTTTCGTATTCTTTGAAGGCTTTCGAGTTATTGGGTTTCTCCGGGCCCTCTTTTGATTTTTGGTTGAGGACACAAGCATTTCATCACAGAGTCTTTGTGGGCGCTTCCTTTTTCGTTCAGGTCGTTGGGAAGATAATGTGCCATAGTTGCCAAGATCGTAATGCATTGCAGTGTTGCCTACCTCGTTAGTGGAAGTGAGTTGGTTGGTTGCGCTCTCATGTCCTCCACCATATTCATTATCGAAGCCACAGTGGGGTAGCACCATCGCGGTATAATTTTAGTTAGTGGCAAGTAAGTGGTGCAGTACAATCCTGAAGAGTTGATATTTTCAGAAGTTTGATACCTGGAGGAATTGAAAATTTAGGACTGGCCGTAAGTGCACAAACAAAGGGCAAGAAGGAGCATTGGTGTCACGTGACGAGAACAATAGGAATCTCAGTCGAGCCACAAGGGCTTTGTTTGCTTTGCCAAACTTGCTGAGCGTTCTTGCTTGCGCTGGTCAAGGTTGCTGACGACGGTGAAAGTGAGAAGACGGCGTCAGCCGTATACATGACTCCCATCCATACCTACCATCTGATAGCAGCAGAAACAACACCACCCACATAGCTACTATGCGAGTGCCACCCGATCTTACACCAAGCAACTATCCCGATCTCCTTTATGATGTCTATGGAGTCTTATAAGATTCGCCGATATCTGCCGCTGAGACGACTCCGAGATAACCCCGGTGACGCGGATGGTCTAGTCCGTCTAGGTCATGACCTCGGCATACCCCAGTTTCTCCACCATTGCGGCTGACGCTGACGCGCTATCGGCGCCGAACCAAGACGACCTTAGAAGAACTAACGTCATTTGCGGAAGTCGGGGTAACGACTTAAAACCTCACAGTCGTACGCTTGTGATTCAATTCTTTCCTGCATAAACGGAGGCTCAACGATAGGCGAGTCCCTGCATGTCCCCAAAGCCTAACGCGTAGCTAACACGCTTGTAGATACGACTGAAGATGCCCTTTTATCCTCCATCATGGGTGCCAAAGCTCCCCATGGACCCGCCCGACTCGGTCCCTATTTGCGACTTCATGCTAGATGAGAACTACGGCCGCCATCCGCTTGGATACTCATACAATCCCTTCATTTGCGGCTTGACGGGAAAGACGTACTCAAGCTTGGAGGTGCGAGAACGCGTCGACTATCTTGCACGAGGTCTATCAAAGGAACTTGGCTTCCACCCAAACGAGGGATCGGAATGGGATAAGGTCATTGCTGTCTTTTCTGTAAACACGGTAGGCATCACATGCCCAATCTATCTATTATAATACTTACATTCGGTAGATTGACACAATCCCTTTGGCATGGGCCACGCACCGCTTGGGTGGCATCCAGACGCCCGCCAACGCCGCATACAGTGCCTCCGAGCTCGAATACCAGTTGAAGAACTCGGGCGCAAAGGCCCTCTTCACGTGCGTTACACTGTTGGAAACGGCGCGAACAGCCGCAAAGAAGTCTGGAATTCCCGAGACCCGCATATATCTCCTTGAACTTCCGGAAAAGTTCGCAGGAAGAAGCACGCCCAAGGAGTTCAAAACAGTGGACTATTTCATCCGTGAAGGCGCAAAGCTTGATCGCTTGCCACAATTAAATTGGAGCCCTGGCGAGGGTGCTAGAAGGAGCGCGTTCCTCTGCTACTCCAGTGGTACCTCTGGTCTGCCGGTAAGCAACAATTTCTGAACGCTTTATGCGCCCATACTAAGCTATACGCAGAAAGGAGTCATGATTTCACATAGAAACGTCATTGCCAATACGAGTAAGATACCCAGAACGCTTGCGAATATGCGATTTTGTCTCATGCGCCCTAGTGCAAATCAGAGCTTTCGAAAAGCCGTACCGAGACAACATGATTAAAGACGTACGAAATCAGTCTGACTATATTGACATGGTACTGGGCCTATTGCCTATGTCGCACATCTACGCACTGGTTGTCATCTGTCATGCCGGTGTCTACCGTGGTGACGGTATAGTGGTCCTGCCTAAGTTCGAGTTTGCATCGACTCTGCAAGCGATACAAGACTACAAGATCAACTCGCTCTTCTTGGTAAGTATGTCGTCAATCGGAAGAAAAGTCAACTAACCAAACAAGGTTCCCCCGATCATCATTCAGATGACCAAGAACAAGGCATTGCTTGATAAGTATGATCTTAGCTCCGTGTGGTCGATATTCACAGGTGCTGCACCTTTGGGAAAAGAAACTGCCGAGGATTTGCAGAAAATGTACCCCTCATGGAAGCTTCGCCAAGGCTACGGCCTTACGGAGACTTGTACTGTCGTATCTTCATCGTCACCAGATGACATCTGGTTCGGTTCCTCGGGCTCTCTGCTCCCAGGCATAGAGTGCAAGATTGTCACTCCCGAGGGCACTGAGATCACCGAATACGACCAGCCGGGCGAGCTGATTGTGAAGTCGCCTTCGGTTGTTCTGGGATACTTCAACAACGATAAGGCTAATGCGGAGACGTTCCGCGATGGCTACATGCATACTGGAGATGAGGCCGTCTTCAGGAAAGCACCTTCTGGCAACGAGCATCTGTTTATCGTCGACCGCATCAAGGAGTTGATTAAGGTCCAAGTAAGTCTACTTGCAATTCTTTCGCGCCACCTGCTGATCACGATATAGGGTCACCAAGTCGCGCCGGCAGAACTCGAAGCGCATTTGCTGACACATCCTGCTGTCTACGATTGCGCTGTGATCCAGATTCCAAATGAAAAGACTGGAGAAGTACCAAAAGCCTTTGTCGTCAAGTCGCCTTCAGTCAGCGCTGAAGAGAGTGACCACGTTCTTGCCCGCGACATTCAGAAATATGTCGAACAGCACAAGGCGAGGTACAAGTGGATCAGTGGGGGAATCGAATTCATTGACGTGATTCCGAAATCGCCGTCCGGCAAGATATTACGTCGAATGTTGAGAGATCAAGAGAAGGAGAAGAGAAGGAAAGCGGGAAGCAGGTTGTAGAAGAGGGCTATTTATGTTGCTCGGTCTGGATATCAGTGTTGTTCGTGAGTAATGAAAATGCGGTTGCACTACCAAATCTCTAGCCACAGCGACGCGGCAAGTGCATAACTACGAACTTTGTCACTTGGATACCGTCCTAGGAACCACGTTGCCCTGAGACGGCGACCCATTTGCACCATGGTAGCTATGCAGAAGCGAGAAATTTTACAAGAGTGGGTCAACCGTTGCTCCATCGCACCATTCCAACAACAGGACTATCTACCGCCCAAGAAAACCAAAATACACGCTTTCCAGCATGGAAACACCATTGGAATTCACTCGTCATTTATGCGCCTTATCTGACAGATTGTCTTCATGCAAAGCTTGAACATGGCTCGGTGGTGTAGTTGGTTATCACGTCAGTCTAACATTCAGTTAGGCGCACTGAAGGTCCCGAGTTCAAACCTCGGCTGAGTCAGCTTATTCATGCTTCGTCTCTTCTTTCTAGGAGAGAGAAGTGTATTTTTCCTTCTTTTTTTGGTGGGTTGGGATAGCAAGACCTCGGCGTTACATCGAGAGCTGGTGCTACTGCTACCGTTGTGCCTGACCCACTGCAATCTAGAATTCGGTTCACAGCAACCGTCCAGGGAATGAATGTACACGGTTACAATGAGTGTGCTTTTTTTTTCTCAATGCCAATTTTGCTGCAGTTACCTCGAGATATGAGGACACTAGTACCTGATTTCTTCCATCAAAAGCAACAAACAGCAGGCTCGGTGGTGTAGTTGGTTATCACGTCAGTCTAACACCCTGTTAGGCACACTGAAGGTCCCGAGTTCAAACCTCGGCTGAGTCAACTGGAACAGCTGCTACTCAGGCAGTAAGCAGTTCTTTTTTGCTGATGAAGTGGTTGTGTGGTCGTGGTCAAGTCGGTTAATTGGTGCTAGGCCGAAGACCAATTTTTTTTCTTAGCAAGTGGAGACAGGGGTAGAGTCTCGGTCTTTAGCAGCTGTACTAGCAAAATCAACCCCTGTGGTGCACGTACTGTACTACATATCATGACATGTAAGAAATAAGAAATTCTTAGGGTTCGGAGGTCCACGTGTAAAATGCAACGTTATGACTTGTTTTTTCAGCTATCACTACCATGTCCTAGGTACCGGAAAATTGCACACATGGGATCTGCAGATAATGCAAAGCGAAAAAAAGCACACAGTACCACGAGCGTGGTACAGTGACAGTTTCTTTTCTCTTAACTTCCTTCCGCGGCTCTCGCCGCAGTTAGGTAGGGCAAAAGAAAAATGACAAAAGAAATCAATATTTTGAGGTCTTGCCCGGAATCGAACCGGGGTTGCCGGAATGCTCCTGATGATGATCAGAATCCGGAGTGATAACCGCTACACTACAAAACCGATTCACGAGACGTGATTGGTTGTGATTGTTGGAGAAACGGCAAATTGCTTTCAATACATCTATAAATTAGACCTTATCATCGCAAGAAAGTAGGTAGATCTTATCAAGACGGTGGTGTCGCAGTCCAGATATTTCGGGGAACTATGGGAAGTGGAGTGAGAAAGTTACTCAACGATGCCGGGATAGGCCGATGGGTACCGGGCAAGAACAGGCGAGAGTATTATAATTTTCCATCTACCACTGACACATACAATATACCCAACAATGAAAACCATTGGGCAGCAGGACCAGCCTCTCTTTTTCTTCACTGCAACCAAGGCTATTGCTTTTTCTTCTGGTTGATGTACCATTCATTCTTTCTGTGGACTATCAACCTATGAATCGCGGCCCCACCTCCCTAGTTGTTTTCGCACTGCTGCAAAACCGCTAGTGTGCCACCGTCGAAGGACTATGCAACGCTTAAGGAACAAAGTGGATATCGAGCGGATGAAAGGAAGAAAGAGAAAAGGGCAAAGATTGCTTTGCCGTTAAGTCAGCCAAAGAGGCAAGGATAGTATGTAGCAACAGGCTTTTGAGTTGGGTATCAACAGCGCGGAACTGCCAATGCTAGCTTATGGAAGAATGATTAGAATGTAAGATGTACACGTGGTGTGCTTGTTGCGCGTGAGCGCACCGGCTTCTATAGCCGTTGTTGGTCCAATTCCCCCTATGATGATGATACAGACAAAATGGAAATGTGAAGAGCTTAAAGTGAGATGAAAGCAAATGAAATGTCCAGTCATGGATGTTCTGACTCGATGCTGGTGACGTTGAGTCGTATGGGCCGTAGACCTAGCTTCAAAAAGAAATGTTTTCGAGACACGAATAAGAAGTTGAGATTAATCCCAGGACGAGAAACAAGCAAGGCAGCGAGAAGACATTGGCCGTTAAGCATGCCCATCATACGTGAGCGATTCGTAAGCGCAAGCAGTTCGTTTAGAAGTTGCGGAAGGGATCGTTACCGACGTCGAAGTCGAAAAGACCGGCGCCACGACTAGATTGATCGCGGGTGCTGGTGCTCCATTGGCTGCTTCCGCGGCGACGACGGTGCTGCATGTACTGTGCTCGAGCGGCGCCACCACTCGATTGCTTTTGGTCACCAAGAGCATCGTCAATGAAAGCTTCCATTCGGACAGTACCCATAGTGTCGAAGAACTGTTGACGTGTTGAAGTGCTCGCCTCCGAAGTCCGGGAGCTCATCGCACCGCCCGTGGGATTGTATTCTGTTGATGGTATAGACGGTGGTACGCCGGCACTGTACATGTCGGACGATCCATTGGAGTATACCGATGGCACATGTTGGTGAGAGAAACTTCTAAATGGAACGCTCGGAGGAGGAGCACTTGGTCCAGTCGAGCTCCTCTTCCTGCCGTGCTGTGGACCACGTCGGATGACTGGCGGGCTGGCGGGCTCTTCCTCCAGTGGCTCCTGGAGGCTGGGGAATGAAGGCAGACTAGGCATAGGTTCCTCCTGCATTGCGTAGCGTGCCATTACTGGGTTCACCCGGCCTTTGGCAAGACGCACTGAATCTTGAACACGGCTACGACGAAGGGTTGCGCCTTGTGGACGACGGTCAATTTCCTCAACTGGCGGCGGTACAGGTGGTAAAGATCCGACATCCGGTATGGGCGCAGTTGAACGGGCGAGGAAAGAAAGCGCAGTCAACCACAGGTAATGTCGCTCACGCGATGTCGTAGTGAACTTGAGAGCGCGCATAGGAGTGAGGATGAGGATAGAGCGGTTGAAGACGGTCTCATTCTTGGGGGGAGGGCAGTTGTCCGTGACGTCGAGGACAGACTGTATAATGACTAGGGACATGTTAATTTCATGCAAGTCCAAAAAAAGAAAATTGACTCACGTTTGCGACCGCTCTTCCCCATCAGTGCCGATCCAGTCGTTGGCTGCTTACTGCTCCAGAGAATGGCTCTCTCATACGGCGAGATCCAAACCCACCGTTTGTGTCTCACACCATGGGTGGTCAAAGAGGCTTCCTCTGCTGCGCGATTGATATCTGTTTCAGGACCACCAAAGGGTTTCCTCTTGCGGACATATTTCCACATGAACTCTCCGATCATCGCTGCTGCAATTGCATCAACAACGTTATTCTGACTTGCAGCACTATTCTCGGAGCCGTTGCCTGTATAACTCGTGGCTGCTGTCGCGCTCGAAAGCTGGTGGCGGTGACGGAAACCACTAGCACTGACGATGTCGCTCGGGAGTGGTGGGATTGAGTAAGTATCGTCGTTGCTTGGAGTAGCCGGAAGTGTCGGAGACCTGCTGCGAGAGCGACTAGTCTTTGTCACAGGAGCTGCTGATCGCACTTTCCTTATGCTGTCTTTCCTTTGGTGCTTTACGCCATACGGACGGCGTCCGGCATACGAACCACTGTTGCGGGGGGTTGGACTTTGAGAGCCCTCACTCTTGCTCAGTGGTTTGTTGCGCGAACTGGACCGAGTAGGCACCGGGAATGGCGGTTTCGGCAGGTGGTTGCTTGATGTTAGACTACCAACACTTCCGCTGCGAGTGCGGGAGTGAACAGCAGTGCTACTCTGTATCATTGCAGATCGCCGGATGCTAGGTTGGCGGCTGATCACCATACGTTGCGCTTTGCCAATCTTGGCTGGTCTCTCCATCGAGCTACGTATCGAAGACATGTTCGTACTGTTGATGGAATCAACTGACGGTCTAGGGTTTGACGAGGCCTCCTTGTCTTCTGGTACAGGTGTCGGAGGGTTCACCGGTCGTCCGCTCTTCGCGTTGCGTGATGAGAGCATCGCTGCGGAGTATTGGAGGCTCCTAGGCTCACCGTCGCTCAATTCGGCCTCTTCCTCCTCTTCGTCAGACGATGGGCCATCGAATCCAGCAAATAGACTGCTTGTACGGAATGGGCGATTGAGTATATCCGTATCGAGCTTGTACGACAGGGGTCCATTGTCATTATTCCCAGGATAACGGTTCTCAATTTCCCTATCTGCAGCTTCTTCGAGGCGAGTCGTAAGGTTCTGGCGAGCCAGTGTTTTTGTCGTGGGCTGTTCAGGCGCGTTGGAGGTAGAAGGGCTAAATTCTTTCTCTGCAGCCTTCTCCTTGTCTGCCACTGGTGTTCCAGGCTTGGATGAAATAGCTGATGGAAGGAGATGTGGCGGCAGTTTGACAGGTCTCTGATCAATCCTTATTGGTTCAGTCTGCATGCCTGTTGACTGCATTGGGGCTACAAGGTCACCGGTCGTTTGCGTTGAGATGGTCTTCGTGCCCGGAGGAAGGATAGGAGCTTTTGGTGACGAAGGTGCCGATGTGGGAGCATGTATAGCAATCGAAGGAATCGGAATAGGAGCTGGCGGCGCGGCTCTCTTAGGTAACTCAGTTGGAACATCTGGCTGAATCGGAGGATCTGTCTGGGTTGCTGTGGAGACTAGCTCAGCGTGGACGGCTTGTGGCAAGAGTGCTTGTTCTGAAGGCACAGGGATCTTGGGGGTTGGCGGCGGACTTAGAGGCTCAACGGTCTGCACCGAGCTCGATTTCATGTTATGTGTTTCAGAGTTAACATGGGATGCTGGACTAGAGCTTATGGGGACAGAAACTCGCTTTCGACTCTGGTTGGCCTCAATCTCTGCAGCAGTGGATGCACTGTCGTTTAGCTTTATTTGAGGAGAAGGCTCAGTAGTCTGCGATGCCGCTTCCACCATGACGGGCTTGGTAGGCGAAGATGGAGGAGTTGGCTGAACGCCAGTGTCAACGTAGAGAGGCCGAGATGGTGGAAAGATCAAGACAGTGTCACGACGCGGTAGAGTGACTGAAGACAGTTCAGTTTCGTAGGATGATTTCTGAGGCTCCGTATCCTCGACCGTCGTCAGAGTGCTCAGGCCCAGGATGCGTTTTGCTTTTTCGTCGGGTAGCATCGACTGCCGTGACTCGCGGGCCCTGCGCGCTCTCATTTCGTGTTCAGTGAAATCATCGGAATCAATTTCCAAATCTTCCAATTCCTCATCTTCTTCGTCAAATATGAGTTCGTCTGCGAGACTCATACCGTTTCCACGGGTGAAGCCGTCAGCGCTCATTAGAGAAGCGCGATAGTTCCGGCCAATGCTCTTCCAGCTGCTGTTACTTCGATCCCTTGAATGGCGTCCAATACGAGTAGATGGTCTCCGTTGCGGAGATGAGCGCAAACTACCGGGTTCGCTCTCCGGCGCACCGGTATCACCGGCCAAGTCTTCCGCGTCGCTCTCAATACCAGCTTCTTCTTTTGCCTGTTCATGCATAGCGATTTCGTCCAACAGCATCTTCAGTCGGGTTTCCGATACGTGAACCCGTCGCTCCAACATCCGCTTTTCCCCGGCCCACTCCTCTTTTTCGCGAGCCCACATGTCGTGCACTTTGGTCGAATCATCGTCTTGACTTCGCGTCCTTTTTTCTGCTGCAGCAAGCTTTTGTCTCAGATCAGCGTTGGCTTCCTTCATCTTGTCTCTCTCCCCTGCGATTTCCTCCAAAGCGGCCAAAGTTTCATTCTCAAAGTGCTGAAGCTGGCGTTTCGCTACCTTGCCCTCTTTGTTGGATGATGCCAGCTGTTTGGTAAGCGATTCGTTATCAGCACGGGTTGTATGCAAGTTGGCCTCCAAGTCGTCGATAAATTTATGCTTGGAATCTAGTTCCCGACGGAGGTTCAGGATCTCTGAAACGAGGTTTGCATGCAGTGTTGGAGTGAAACGACGAGGATCCAGGATTGAGATGTTCTCATCGTTAGCAGCATCGTCTGAACTAAAACCTCGATCTGGTGGCATGGGGGGTGGTGAACTGGTTATGTCACTGCCTGGTGTTTCGTGACGGGAGCTCCGTCTTGACAGCGAGTCGTATGGAGTTCCGGCAGGTGTAGGTAAGGAGCGGCTAGCGGCAAAAGCCTCATTATCTGAATAGTACTCTGCGGCCATTTTGGTTGGGTCGTATATATCGGGGAAAAGAATGGTGG